AGCAATTAGACAAGAGAAAGAAATTAAAGCAATAAAGATAGGAAAGGAAGAAGTTAAACTGTCATTATTTGCTGATGATATGATACTCTACATTGAAGACCCAAAAAACTCCACCAAAAGACTTCTAGACTTAATTGACACTTTTAGCAGAGTAGCAGGATACAAGGTCAACACCCAAAAATCAATAGCCTTCTTGTACACAAATAACACTCACTGAGAGAGAAATTAGGGAAACAATTCCTTTCACAATAGCATCCAAAAAAAAACAAAAGAAGTATCTAGAAATCAACCTAGCAAAAGACCTCTACACTGAAAACTACAGCACTCTGAAAAAGGAGATCAAAGAGGATATAAGAAAAGGGAAAGACATCCCTGCTCCTGGGTAGGAAGAATCAACATAGTGAAAATGGCCATACTACCAAAATTGCTATACAGATTCAATGCAATGCCAATTGAAATTCCAACACTATACTTCACAGAACTAGAAAGAAGAATCCAAAAATTCATTTGGAACCATAAGAGACCTAGAATAGCAAAGCCATCCTAGGCAACGGACACATGGCAGACGGTATAACAATTCCCAATTTGAAACTATACTACAAAGCCACTGTGATAAAAACAGCATGGTACTGGCAAAGAAACAGACCTGAGGATCAGTGGAACAGACTGGAAGACACAAAAAAAACTCCAGATGTACTCAGCTCCCTCATCTTTGACAAAGGAGCTAACCATCCCCACTGGAGGAAAGATAGCCTCTTTAATAAATGGTGCTGGAAAAACTGGATCTCACCCTGCCAAAGATTAAAACTAGACCCTTATCTCTCACCATGCACTAAATTAAAATCCAAGTGGACTAAAGATCTAAATATTAAAACAGAAACACTAAACTTGCTGGAAGATAAGTTAGGCAGAACTCTGGAAGGCATTGGCATAGGAAAAGACTTTATGAACAAATCCTCAGTAGCGTGGGTACTAGCAGAAAGAATCAACAACTGGGATCTCATCTTATTAAAAAGCTTCTGTACTGGAAAAGACACCATCAACAGAACTAAGAGACAACCTATAATGTGGGAAAAAATTTTTACCAGCTGCTCCTCAGGCAAATGACTATTATTTTGATTATATAAAGAACTTAAAATAATCAGCCCCCCCAAATTTAAATTTAAAGATCCAATTCAAAAATGGGCATCTGAAATGAACAGACATTTCTCAGACAAAGTAGTAAAAGCAGCAAGTAAATATATGAAAAACTGTTCCACATCACTGATCATTTGAGAGATGCAGATGAAAACAACACTGAGATTCCACCTTACCCCACAAAGAATGGCTGCTATCAAGAAATCACACAATAACAAATGTTGGCAGGGTTGTGGGGAGAGAGGAACCCTTCTCCATTGTTGGTGGGAGTGCAGACTGATGCAACCTCTACGGAAATCAATATGGAGATACCTCAAAGAGCTTGGACTGGAGGTTCCATTTGACCCAGCCATCCCTCTGCTGGGTGTCTTTCCAAAAGAATTAAAAGAATCATATCACAGTGACATATGTGCACCTATGTTTATAGCAGCACAGTTTGTAATAGCTAAAACTTGGAAACAGCCCTTTTGCCCATCAGTTGGAAACTGGATAAAGATGTGTTTTTTCTATAAAATGAAATACTACTCAGCCATAAAAAATGAAATTAGAGTCATTCGTAGGAAAATGGATACATGTTGAGGATATACTCCTAAGTGAAATAAATAAGTCACACATGTGTAAATACCGAATAGTTTCTCTGGTGTAAAAAACTACAATAGTACTTAAGATCCTAATGGGATAATTAACAATGTGAAATAGGAAGAGAAGGGCTAAAGGTTTAGGGAAAGTTGGAAGTGTTAGGAAAGGGGAATAACTGAAAATAAAAAAATGTGAGAAAATGAAAAAATGTAATGTAAGTGCTTGTAAATGGAGAGGGGTTGAGGGGCTGAAGGGAGCGTAGGGACAAGGGCAAAAAATGAGAACCAAGACCTGTCATGTAAAGTACAAGATCCCAGTAATGAATGTAACTGTACTGTGTACCTAGAATGTACCAATAAACTCAATTTAAAAAAATGTGAGGTTATGCAAACGAGATGAGTAGAGGAGGCATGAAGTAATGTGTGGCAAGATACTGTTTAGATTTTTGAGTCATGTGACTACTACATTTTTTAAGGTACCTCAATGAACAGATAACAACTTGATTAAAACATCTCAGGTATAGAGGCTAGAGACTTTGAACAGAAATTTTACCTATGTCACTCTACAGAAGGCTCTCTCTAATGAATTTCATTCACTACAGGCCTTCAGCCCTTTGTGCGGAGGGGTAATCACATGAAGACACTTTTTGAGATTCTTGAGATTCTGACCAAATGCCACTTACTTACAATGTTTTACATGCATATGTTTTCCTGTAGATGCCAGAGGAACAAGCATTCTGTGTTTTGGTGAAAATCATGTCTGACTATGGTTTGCAAGACCTCTACAAAAATAACTTTGAAGATCTTCATTGCAAATTCTATCAGTTGGAGAGACTAATGCAGGTAAATAAAAATTAGGAGCTTTTAATACCTAGGGATTTGTTGTTATCAAAAAAAACCTAATAGAATTGATAAACAATAATAAGTTATAAAAGTGTAATGAAATACTACTGGAAATATAAATAGATTTGGTTTCTGACCAATACCTATTTTGTTTTTAACACAGTTACATGTGTTTAGCAATTAATCTGTTTCACATTTTATATATTCAATGTTTTTTTTTTAACTTTTTCCCATTGAGTTTATTGGTTCATTTTAGGTATACCAGTACAGTTACATTCATCACTGGGATCTTGTACATTTACATGACAGGCCTTGGTTCTCATTTTTTCCCCTTACCCCTGCCCTCCCTTCACCTCCTCTTCCCTTCCCTATTTACAAATACTTTATTTTCATTTTTTCATTTTCTCATCCTTACTCTGTCTAAGCCCCCATCCTAAATTGTAAAGATGGTATATTGATGAGTCTATTCACTGCAAACATATTTTGGGTTGCTCCTTGATTTTAATTTAATTCACATGTTTTAAAGGTGATAGATTAATGACTACCACAAATGGTCAATTTGTAAGTTGTGCTTGATCCTATTGTGTTGCTGATTGTATCAATTGGGCTAAAGGGTGGTGATTGATTTAATGAGTTGTCTTCTCTGATATTATGAAAATGGGAGTGTCTGTGAGTCATTAGAGACTCAAAAGCTAAAGCGCAACTATATGAGGAAGATTAAAGTAATGACCCAGGAATTAAACCAAGGACAACCCAACAACAAAAATTAAAATGAGAAAACACTATATTCAATGTTAATACAGTTTAAAGTGTGGATATAGTAAATTAAGTCAATGAAGCCACATAGTATTATAGAGGAGTCAAAGTGTTTACTAAGTAAAAATTGAAATATCTAAGATATTTTTCCATGCTAATTAGCATCACTATTGTACTTGAATTCACACATGAAAAAGACAGACAGATATTGGTAAGAGAATTTTAAAAAAACCTAAAATACCATAATGTAGGGACTTATTTTAATTTTTTTTCCACATAAGTGTGTAACCTCAATCAATGTGGCTAATGTGCTTTATAATATTTTTATAAATATATGAGTGAGATACATGTTCTTTCATCTATGCAAAATATTATACAATTGTGAAAAGGAAAAAATTATTGACAGAGCTAACGGAATTACCGGATAACTTTGACATTTCCTTGTGGGATTGCAAATCTCAAATTTATAATGGGTCTTTTCAGTGTATTTATATGACTTTCTCTAAAAGATGTGTTGGGAACCCAAGGAAAATGTAAAACAAGTGTTTGGATAGGTGGATTCTTTACTGGAGGAAGGTAAAATGTTTGGAGAAGAGGGTTAGTGGGATGCAGGAGGGAAACATGCTAGTAGAATTTCGTTGATGGGACCTGTCAGGAAACCCATGGATATCTGAAGAGGGAGGTGAAGCCAGTAGGAGACGATGGAAGGACAGGGGGGTAAAACAGGGAGAGTTTATTGTGAGATTAAAGAACAAGCGTCCTGGGAGAAGGGAAGGTAGACAAAGCAGAAGACCTTAAAGATGGAGACGAAATGGAGAGAAGGGTATAAAATGAGCTTAAGCACAGGCACGGTGAGCACAGGGTAGAGAAGAATCTGATAATTGTGAACGTTAAAAGCAGTGAGCAGTTTTTAAATGATTAAATTCTACCAAGTATTTGTGGTCACTCAGTTTTTATCTTTCTTTTCTTTTTTCTGGTACTGGGAATTGAACTCAGGACCTTGTGCTTGCAAGGCAGTCATGACACCACTGAGCTACATCCCAGCCCACTTTTTATCTTTCTTTAACAAAAGTTTATTTTCTTTACTTTTTAATTTCAACCATCAGTATTTGTGAGGATTTTGAAAGTCAAGTAAGTGTATCTAGTATATAAGAAGCTTGTAGCACAGTGAAGAAATTCAACCATATTTTTCTATTAGCAATTTTTGTCTGTTAGCTTGGCGGCCATTTGGATACCTCATTTAAGTACCTGTTGCACACATTTGGGTATTTTACAAAGGAACATCTTGTGCATAAAATATTTTGCTTTTCTGATCTTTTTATGAAAACAAAATGAACATGAGCTTTTACCTATCTGCCTTTCTCCTTCAGTTATGGGAATACTAGTTATGTTAATACTTTTTGCTTTGCCTTTCCTGCTTTTGAAAAGCATTTGCTCATTTTACTTGGGAAGAAAGCAGAGCTAGCATATAGGCATTTTTAGGATATAGTCAATTTTATATATTATACCCTTGTACAATTTTACTTTGCCATTTTTAATATGTTGAAAATAGTTTTATTTTGTTTGCTTTGGTTTGGTTTTGGTACTGGGGGTCGAATTCAGGACCTTGTGCTTGTGAGGCAGGTGGTGGCACCACTGAGCTAAATCTCCAGCCCTGAAGATAGATTTTTTTTTTTTTTTTTTTTTTTTTTTTTTTTTTT